CACACGGAAGCTATCTAATTCTAAAACAGCTTAACCAATCCGGGGGAGCCAACACTTAGAAAAACATAAAGGGCTGCACACACACTGCTCTTAATAACAACAATTCATCGAGGTAATTCGAATACTTAAAAAAAATTAAATTACAAATAAAGTAGAGTCTACCTCTTAAACCGATTCGAAAAGCGCAACTCATACGTTTTTGTCTCGTATTTGTGACCTGGGTCTCGAAGTGTCATCGTGAGGTCTTCTCATACGGCTATAGCTACTATTTTAACAACATCCGCATTATTTTGATAGTCTGCATAGCAGAGTCGGAGGTGTACAATAAATTCTTTTTTCCACCTATCGTGGATTTATCAACATGATAGTCCGCCTATACATACAGCCCAGATTGTTAATGCGTTTAAAAAGAGCCAAAGCTTGGAGATATTAATCTGGCCGCCCTCCACACCAGGTTTGAATATCATCAAAAACGTTTGGGGATGGTTGGCAGGACATTCATTTAGGACATGGAATCGTCTTGAATAGTTCAAACATTTGATCAATTTGTATGCCACTCTTCTAAACCGGACTTGCCATATTTTGGAGCAGAAAGGTTGAGCCAACAAACTATTACATTTTTTAAATTTATGTCTTAAACCTTCTTATTAACTTATATTTAAATACCAAATACCATTAGAAAACATTAGCAAACAAATTTTTGTATCCATTTCTGTATTTCGTTCCCACAAAAAACGAGAATCTTTGGCATCCACAAATTTAAAGATACAAAAAAAACTAGAAGACTAAACTATCTATCAGATTGCCGAATCTGGAACAGATCGGATCAATATTATACTGAGAAGACACAAATGAAATTTCAGTGGAGTGGCTCCCACTCTTTCACACACTCTTCCTGTTGCAGTGAGCGCCCCCTGACGGAGGGGAGCATCGGGAATAAATGTAGAGTTGCGGCACTAGCTGCGACTCACAACGTTCCCCCTCTTTCAAATCCATCAAAAAATTCGGTTTGGTTCGAAGCTTAAGGTAAAAGTTAACTTTTGTTGCCTAGTGTAGCCATGACCATACGGCAGGCATTTCATATAATTTTCTAGTGAAAAAATATTATGACCCCGAATGTTGCTGTGCTTTCGTAAATACTATTTTATAAATACTTTAACCATAATAAGTAAATCTTTCTTTTGTCCAATTAATGATTAATTAAATTAATTACTATAAAGAGTAAATTGAGTCTAACGTGCTTAGCTTGTGAGCAGTGGCTTATAAAAACTGAATTAATGGACTATTCAACTAGCGAGGAGTGTATGTACCACATACGTATATATGTACATATGTATGTGCCTATATAGCACTTATTGCAATTAGGCACACAGATACATAGAAACAATAATGCATACACACTGACGAAACGACAATATGCCCCACACAGAGAAATAATGACAATATGAACAATTTAAGCGCAAAGAGCCCACCACTTTCGCAATCATCCTATAGTATTTTGGACAAATATCAACATGATTCATTTAAGCTATTTGTAAATATTTTATGGAACCGAAGATGCTGCAGAATCTCTTTCAATCAAAAGAAACACGTACACATACACAAATAATTTACATAAATACATATTAATTAAATAAAATTAATTCAATTGTATCGAGGTCTTTCTCAAGAATTGATATCATATGATTTATAATTGCGGTATTTTGAGAGTAACTTGGAGAGCTTGTAAGGAAGCTTTTCCAGACGAGGTACAGCCTCTCAGTCTGTCCAATGCTCGATCCTCCCACAGAAAATTTTATTTCTGTAAATTTCTAAATATAATACATTCGGGCGAATGTTTGTTTTCCATTGAATACATTAGTTTCCTACGCGCTTCCTACACCATAAAGTACATTCATATATATTCTGATCAGCATCAATTGCCGAGTCGATATAACTATGTCTGTCTGTCGCCTAGTGTTCGGAAACTATAAGAGGAACCAAATTGCGTGTGCAGACTCCTGTGATATCACACCAAATCAAGATTGTAGCAAAATTTTGCCACGCCCGCTTCCGCCCCCTGAAGAACGAAAATCTGTGGCATCTACAGCATCATAGGAAATGACAAGATTGCCGAATTTTGATTAGAAGGGTTGTGGCTACGCTTTTTCATTCTCTCTCACTACTTCACACACTCCTCATCGTGCTTTGTATGCACCCTCTTGCGAAAAAGCCATATCGTATCGGATTTAACTGTAGATTCGCGGTCGCAGCAGCAACTTACAACTTTCCCCCATCTTTTTATGGGGCTGTTTAATATTATTTGAATATTTTTTTTTGCGCCAAGGCGAGCCGCAAATTTTATTTATAAGTTTTCCTGGCCTTTACGCGTAAGATGATAATGTTATATGTACATATTTATTTAGAAGTAATGATTCGGAAAATCATATCAAATATGATATTAGTAAGCATGCTAAAGGGGGTAAAGGGGCTAAAGGCTGCCCCCGGGTACGCCCTTGTCGTCATGCAAAACTTTTCGTTTACTTAGGATCCAAGGCAGCCCAAATAGCTCGGGAATTTGGCACAATATTTATTAAACGCACTGTAAGCTCTTTAAGAAGTTCATACTACTCGTTGATTGTCCATGAAACCACTGATGATGCAAACCGAAAGACTATTGTGATAGTAGCACGCTATTTCAACACCCTATCAGGTATGGTAAAGGACAAGTTCTTTATCCCTTATTGAGTAAAAACATGCGACTCGGAGTCGACCTATCTGGCCTTCAAATCGTTGAAGTATGTCTCCTTTACAGAACGCGCTGATGGGGTTGTAGCCGAAACGAAAGCACGTGTCTCCGGTTTCGGTAGAGTAGGGATGGGTATACATATATTGGGCATTGCTCAGATGCCATGCTTGCAAATGTTAAAAATACATTTATTAATCCCGTTCTATTGGACACTATCTACAAAACATAGGACACCCATACACTCAAAGGGGTTGATAGAAAGAACAGAAACGGACAAGGTCACAGTGCTGCAAATACTCGCAGCTCCCAACCATGATCATCGTATCCATCTCCCACTTTCGATGATCCCTTATGCCACTATGACTAGCTAGACAGTAACGTTACCCAATGCAAGGCCTTAAAAACATTACAACATTACAAATTTATTTAACATAAAAAAACATAACTTTACTGACCCCCCCCCCAACAATGGTAAAACTAAAATCTGTAATCTATAAATTGAACATGGAAATGTAGGCGCGTATAATGTTCAGGTTCAAGGTGCTGAATAGCTCTGCCGAGGTATTGGTAGAAGAAGGTGTGAGGGAGATTGGAGGGAGACGATACATAGCATAGGCCGGATTAAGAGCGGGCGAGAGAGTTAATTCAATGCAACTGTAAGTGGCAGTAACATGCGCTCTGCGCTTCGTTCCCCTTCAACGTAGAATCGCTTCAACGTCGGCTTAAACGGGCAAAAAAACGAATGCTCTATGAGACTACTAACATGCTCTCGAAGCCACCACGATCGTCCGCACCGGCGATTGCCTGTCTCGCTCTTTCGCTTTCCTTCCCAGATCGTGGGTCCAGTGAAGGGAAGAGGGAATGAAGGAGAGAAATGGAAGAGGGAATGAGAGGGTCTACAGCTATCGCTACGCTGTTGCTTTCTGCACACCCTTTCTCGGTCTATATTCCCCTCCCTTGAGAAGAAACTAAGTAATTCGCTGAAGGCGACTAAACCACATACTTATGTACATATACGAGTAGGCTGGCTGATGCTTGCTGAGACAAGCGCTGATGGGGCCGGCACTGTTGTGGCCTGTTTCCAGCTGCTGAGGATGGGCTGCCGTATGCTGCGGCCAGATGCTGAACGTGGCTTGGTCCCGTAGGTGACTCAATCAGCTAGTTGGGCGGTTGTAATTCGTGTAATTCGGAGCTTTTCACTCTTCATCGGGATCTGCCCCTGCCTTACTTTCGTTCCCAAGCCTTCGGACCCGATCCAATTCGGAGAAATCGGCTCCTCTGAACTTGGTTCTCTCACTCAATCGAGCCTTGCGTAAGCATCCATATGATACGTTTCCGCCATATACTTATAGGCCTTCTTAGCCGACAAGCCCCCTACTTCGTTCCATTGAGCAAAGGAAATACCATTAAAAGTCTTAACGGGCCTGGTTACTGAAGACGCAAACACAATTTATGGGACCTTAAATATCCTTAAAACCAAGCTAAGTGGGGACACGAGCTTACTTTATTTAAAATATAAATTCCATTCCTTGAACCTATGTGATGGCTACGCATTCAAAACATTGCCATCGGACATTGGATCACTGCATCGAAACACACATTCCCATTTTGAATGGAGTCTCAAAAGATCGCAGGAAGGTTTTGGGAATATCCATGACTAGAAGGTGGTCGTTAGAAATAGGGATGTGGTATTCTCCAGCAATTGTAAACTCTGGAACTATTTTTCTTGCCGCACGGTATTAAAGAAAATAATACAAAGCCAAAGCCAACCTAATGAAGAAACATTAAAGCCACATATATTTACATTTTAAATTATATCCTTAAAACTAGTAATGAGTTGAATACGGAATTCCCATCAGAACAAATTCGGTTACCTTTTCATTATTTCAGACTGGAATCCCCTCTGAAGGTAATCCTAAATTATTTTATGGAACACAAAACGTTTACTTAACGATTGAGAACCATATTTATTGCGCGATGAAAAAATGTTTATTGGTCTATAGAGGGAACGGTGCGTGGGCTAATATTTTTGATAATATATTTATATGTATTTATTACAAATATTTTTCCGACTTTTTAACAAAAGTTGTCACGGGTTTTAAATATTTTCACGTAGCAACCGTGTCTCTAAAACTCTTAATGAACTCAGTGAACACTTAATTTACTTTTCAATTGAATACGCAGTAAACACTCATATCTAATCGAAGCTATTTCACTTTCTTGGCTGGCATCTACTATTGACAGACCTCATCGGGATCTCATCAATTATGATTTTTATACCCGGTACACGAAGAGCTTAGGAATATTTAAGCTTTGTGGATGTGGGTAAGGAAGTGAAAGAATAAACACTAGAACATAACAAAGCTCTCTGGATCTTCTTTACCTCTTTATTTTGTTCCCCATATCTCATGACAAGTGCGAGCAAAATTGAGAGAGATCACGGTAAGATTTCCCCGTACCCAAACTAACGCACAAATCAATTCGTCCATTTTACTAACGGCGATAACAAAAGTGAGAAAAATCATTCGGCACTCATTGGCTTCGATGCCAATTCAGGGGCTGACGTAATTATAATTGCGCATACTTACTCGTAATATATATATTTTATTAGTCATATAAATCAAAGGCTCACGCGTGCATAACTTATACTGACTGTGTACCCGATATATAAAAGTTGGCTCCCAATGTTCCCACTCGTTTTGTACGGTTAGGTTTTTTAGGTTAGGTTAGGTTTATTTATTTATTTAACTTTATGTGATCAAATTTGGGCTTGCGCTTTTCCATTTAACTGGAGTATGTTAGACCTAGTTTTGAAGAATTTCGCATTTACGAAAAGCCAATGAATGCTGCTATCAATCGGGTCGCACAACTTTGTAGCTTAAGCTAACCTTTGCCTTCCCAATTGGATTGCTTGAATGACAGCCTCGGTTGCAATTGTGAACATTTTAAATTACAAAACAGTATTAAAGAGACATGCAAATTATTATTTTACTATCTATAGATAATCTTAGACGGAGGAAATGACAAGAAAAATGGTAGAGCGCAGGATGCGTTGATGCACGTCAGACATGTTTTCAATTCATGACTCTACGTTTTTTTATTTTTATTCTCATCTTTCGCTGCGTTTGTTGAAACCAACGTCTTCAAATAGGTCGTATTAAAGTTTAAATCGCAGCAGCATCCTCGACAACGACAGCATGCTACTTGTCCCAAGGAAACATCCTCATCAAGTGCAAACGCTTTGGCTCCTGCCACGCCGTCTACGACCTCTTTGAGCCGGATTTTGTGGGTATGGTATCACTTACTCAACGCCATTCTTCTTCCGACCTGCATGTCGGCCCAGAGGCACTTAGCTGCTCCTCCGTAAGCTCTTTACAGGCCGCTAAAACTGACACTCTATCGCCACTAGTTCGGCCCCCAGCACTATCAACGTTGTTTTCCATAAAACTGAGGAAAATTTCATCCTACTCCGGTATTCTGGGCTTTCCCGTAACAAGAAATTAAAAACCTTAAAAGCACATTACTTACATTTTCGTTACCGACTCTTTACCAGTGATAGGCAAACCCTGTATTCTTCCTTTCGACACCCTCACAGGACAACACATGGATGCTTTCACTAAAAGCAAAAAATTATCAGAATTCAGAGCTAAACAAACTAGTTGGAAAGTTTTTTAGTTTGAGATGGTTTTTGTTTTTTTTCTTTTCAGAAAGAAGCCTATTTCATATTTTGATAAATTTATTGTTTGGACTCATTTTGATGAAGCAGAGTTGCCAGGCTTTATCAATCTACATCTACTGTTGTCAAAGAACAGAAATAGAGTATAAAATTTTAAAATTTTGATTTAACTGATATATTTTGGGATTAGTATTGTAAGAAAATGGATTCACAAAGGAGTAACCGCTTTCAGTTACTTCGTGACGAAAAAGGGGACAAATCGGCACGGCCGAACGGCAAAAGGATGACAACTGAAAAACCAAAACAAGCTGCCAACACATTAAAGCAAAAAGGTAAAAATGAAACTTTCATCGATCTGAAGACGAAACAAGGCTGGCAAAGAAAATACAATGGACCAAAAGGTTACTGGATTGGAGGAGCCGTGAGTACCAAGGGGGCGTCCACGATCAGCGCTGCACTAGGAGAGGATCGCAAATCTGGATTGGACGAAAAGGGAGAAAGCGTCGGAGAAAAGTGTAATGGTGTCGTTGCCCGCACTCCACTGACGGTGGGATGGACCCGACTCGGATCAGAAGTTTTAAAGCAGAGCCCACCATCCCCATCCCCTCCACAAGGCGAAGAGCAGAAGCAACACACTCCCGACAAGGTGGTCGTCCAGCAGCAAAAGGTCCGTACTAATATCCGCACAAAAGTCCTTCCCAAGGCCGATGCGCAAAGTATTGCCGATAACCTGGAAACTCCACTGAAGGGAGGATGGTCTCGACTTGGATCGGAAGTTGTAAAGCAAAGGCTAGGCGAAGAAAAAGAGCAGCAACAAGGCCGTTGTAATACTTTTACTGATACAAAGGTCCCTCAAAACGACAAGGCGCGGTGTAACTGCAACAAATTTTCCAGGCCGTTGGAAACTAGCGACACCAAAAGTGTGTTAGCCACAACCAGGCGCCCCGTCTTGGTCACACAGCGCGCCGCCCGTCAGAAACACCTCGAGAACATTGAGGTGAACTTCTTCGTTGGGAACTACGAGCCTCTTGGCCCTCCCTGCGGGACCGAGTGCCCCAAGGTCGATGATGAAATTCAATTTCCGAATCTCCCTCTCCCACCTTAGTGCGTGCAACGAGGACAAATTTGAAAATGTAAAAAAAAATTAATAAAAATAGTGCACATATTTGATTTTGTTTTCAAAGGGATTGCTTTAGTGGTGATCGTGGTTTGCCGTGGATAAAGATTGGTCACTTGGTGGCGACAAGAGAGACAAGACATGTTGGGTATAATCGTCAATGCAACTTTGCATTGAAACAGATGTTCTAAAGAATATGGATTCTGATTAAGTATATTATATTAATTATGTATATATATATCGCCCAAGTCCCTGTTGAGGGTTTATCTGGCTATTAGTTACTTGAAGTTAAAAACTCATAACACGGATATAATTCGCGATCGTACAAGATAAATTTGTATGAAGGCTTGTCACAGAACATACTATAAAGAAAATAATATGGCTAGAAGGGACCTAGGCCAGATGATTGAGGTCAGAGGATCTATCTGCCTGGGTATACAAAATTCCGCCCCTTTGATATATTTCGTGTGAACTTGTGTGTCCTTATCAATTAAACGACTTCTGTTCTCATGTATCACAAGATCTTTGATAAGTGAAGTTCCCTTATCTTTTCTCCACATTAAAAGCCTAAGCTGTTTGTCTTCCCCAATCAATCTAAAAGCTTCTCCTAGAGCTTCCTTGTCAGATGAAATTCTATATGTTTTTTGCTGGATCTCTCAGTCATTGAAAGAATCTCGCCTTAAAGCTTTTCTGTTATCCGTACTGCCATTAACTGCAGTGATGGGGAACAGCGTAAGTTTTCCAGCTGCAGTTGTGTTTTCTTTTCTTTCTCTCTCTTTCTGTGCGCCTTTTTGTTTTTCCTGTTTTCCATGCTATATTAAATTGAACAACTTCTGGGGAATCAAAAACATAGTAGATGGACTGGGAGGGCGTAGAAAAAGCGAAAAAAACGTACGTCTGAAAACTTTTTCGCGCGACCTGCACTCTGTTTCGCTCTCTCCTCTCTCCAAGTTTGCCTCTCTGTCTATCTTTTTTTTTTGTTGCTTTAATTACCGCTGGTAACACACGTTAGCTGTCACGTTCAGGAGCGGACCACGCTGCAGGAAGGCATTGAAAGAGATGGAGAGGGGCTGGATGCTCTGGGGATTGCAAATTAAATGAAATTCTAGAAAGTTGTTCATTTCATGGAACCTTTCAGAATGGGTAAAGACGGCTCCCCCAAGTAACTATCCCTTAAACTGGGACCAAGTCCTTAAATATCAATTGATTAGGCCTTTTTTAGCACCCATAACTGACAACTTGATTAGTCTGAATCAAAATCAAAATGTATCCCAAAAAGTAATGCAACCAATTAGGGAGATTCCACTGTGGGACTCGGTCTTCTGCTGTTGAACATGTTGAATGCATCGACAGAGGGGACGGACAATACAGTTTCGGCTTGTTAAAATTGATTGCCCGGACCCAGAACGAACAGCCAGACGAACAGCTACTTAGGCATGTCACCTTTTACGGGTCTGGGCCTTGGATCTGGAATGAACATTGATTTATATTTGTATTGACACATCGGGCAACTGACCCCACCCCCAGGCCTCACACAGCTCTCCTCGTTGTTCGCCTGTCGCACAAATTTGTCCTTGTCATTGTTTTACAAGAAGTACTCCTCCTCCGACTCACACAAGGACCATTCAGCACAACCCAAATAAGTGTAGAGAAAAGGCAGCTGGGGAGCTGGGCAAAGAGGAAGAATAAAAAGAGCTTACTTAATCGACTTTATATACCCTTTAGAGAAGGAAAACGTGCCCTAAAATTAACATATTTCCATGTAGAGGCGGCCTTTCTGCTTTACAGCTGAGTAGATACGGGACTGTTATTTAATTTGAATGATATGACGGATTTATCGAAAAGCTTGAACAAAAAATACCAAATATTTACCCAATATCTTGATTTATTGCGTGGCAATGGCAATGGCAATCGCGGCCACCTCTTCTGACTTTGGCGGCTCAGAAAATGTACGATAAGGGATCTAATAATTAGGTAGAAGTCCACTTCATTGAATAAAATTCAAAGATTTATTCATAGAATCGTGATGGCTGGCCTCACTCTTCACTGTTTCATACAGATTTCAATACAATGAGCCATAATCAAGCCAAAAAAGGAATTTTGGTACACTCACGTGCACTAACGTGAAAGATAAATATACGTTTTTTGGGCTTTTGGTCACGCCCACGGACAGACACAGTCAGTCACACTTGAATAGTCTCGTTTCCGTGAACTGAAATTATTTCAAAGTTGACACACGAAATTAACATTTATAAATGCCGGAAATGTGCACCATAGACCCCATCCACTCCTCTGCCCATTCCGCCCGGCACGGTGCGGTCAGAGGAGGAGGCGGAGAAGGAGGCGGAGGAGGAGGAGGAGGAGGAGGCAGAGAAGGAGTCGGAGAGGATACCATCTGGCTCTGGGCAGGAGGAGCAGTTTGTACACAATAGCCATGCAAATTGGACACCACTGCATCAAACAGTTCCCACTGTCGTAGCCGTAGCCGGCTCATGTTTGTGATGTGTGTGTTTGCTTAACTTGGTCATCAAGTCAAAAGAAGAGCAAACTGGTGACCGACAAAGAGAAAAAGCGAGGGAGAGAGAGAGAGAGAGCGAGATAGTGGCTTTTCCTGGCTTTCGCATGAAAAGAATGACCTACAGAGCAGGAGAGTGTGCCCCATACGAATCGTTTGGTTGGCAATCCTACGCATGTGTCCGTGTGTGTTGCATGCAACCCGACTAAGGGTCTCTTTAAAAGATACGAGTCCACTGTGGTGTGGGCATAATTTACCAAGGACTTCCTACAATTCAAATTACTGGACGATTGTTAATCAGCATAAGCTGAGATACGCTGTAGATCATTTTGAGAACTCCTTGACTCCATTAAAAACAAGTTCTGCAGTCGTTTTGCATCTTTTAGAGAACCCTTTAGATAACCTTTAAGCCGGCAGACGATACTCATTAATGGGGAATCTGTTACCCATCAGAATATGTTTGATTCGGCTATGCAAATGGATGTTTCCCACCAACCAACTCGCGAAAGTCTAAGGGTCGTTTAACTAATTCGCATTGCCGTGATTCCACATTAAAACGAGGGGGAACGTTGTGAGTTGCTGCGGACACCGCAACTCTAAGGTTATACCCGATACTAAGTCAGTATGGCTCTCCTCCGGCAGACGCCGCTAATATTTAACGACACGACAAAGAGTGCGTGCGAGAGAGACAGAAAATCAGTCTGAGCGTGACGTCGGGCGCTGCGTAGCCACTGCAAATTGATTTGTTCCTTTTGGCTAAAAAAATGGTCTGATCTGATCCAGATTCAGCAATCTAATAGATATGGTCATTATCTATGATTCTGCGTTTTTAGTTTTCTCAAATCTGCAATATTGTGGATGCAACAGATTTTCGTCCTTTGTGGGGGCGGATGGGGGTGGGGCGAAATTCTGAGATATACGTTTTATAGTGACATCTTAAAGGAGTGTGTGCACCAAATTTGGTTACTCTAGCCTTAATAGTCTCTGAGAATTGTGGTTGCCTCAGATTTTCGTCCTTTGCGGGGGCGGAAGGGGGTGTGGCGAAATTTGGACAGGAAACGGTCAAGGTCCGATATCACAGGAGTGTGGATACCAAATTTGGTTGCTCTGGCTTTTATAGGTTCTGAGATCCTTGAACTCATATTTTGCAATTGGCAAAACCGACCATGAAACCTGTGTGTTAGAGTGAGACAGAGCGAGAAAGAGTGAAATTGTTTTCGTGATTCTGGCTGTAATAATTATACGATCTGGTTCAGATTTTGCACTCTAGAAGATATAGTCATCTTCTACGATTCTGCGTTTTTAGTTTTCTCGTATCGTCGAAATTGTGGATGCCACAGATTTTCGCCCTTTGTGGGGGCGGAAGTGGGCGGGGCAAAGTTTTGAAATATTTTTGGAGCAGTGACATATCACAGAAGTCTGGATCCAAAACATCGTTGCTCTAGCTCTTATAGTCTTTGAGCATTAGGCGCTGAAGGGGACGGACAGACGGACAGACGGACGGACGGACAGACAGACAGGGCTCAATCGACTCGGCTATTGATGCTGATCAAGAATATATATACTTTATAGGGTCGGAAACGATTCCTTCTGGACGTTACACACATCCACTTTTACCACAAATCTAATATACCCCAATACTCATTTTGAGTATCGGGTATAAAAAGTTAGGCACAAGTCAATCACATTTGGCGACATTTTGTGAGGTGTTTGCCATTTTGCTTGCCCGAGGTGGAGGACTTTTATTTATAGCTTCCATCAGCGAACGATGGCACCAACCTATTATTTCCGTGTCGTCCTGTCAACGTCGACATCAAGTTGACATACGAATGGCAGGGAAACACCTGCTCCAGGACCAAGCTGAATATTCCATTTTCCATCGCCATCTTCCAGAGCCTAATGATGCGGCAGAGCACTGAGATGAAGACACAGAGGCGGCATCGGAATCGGCATCGGCATCGGCATAGACTCCGGCATCGCAGTTCCGTGTTTGTTTGTGTAAATACGATTTTAATTAAATGTAAATCACATTGTTAACCCTCATGCACAAAAATGGAGAGAGGCCGTAGGATGCCAACAAAAACAGCAGCAGCCAAAGAAAGATGCAAGGAAAAAGGGGCGGAGGTCGCTGCTTTACATACCCTTTTAGCCGCAGCTCCTTGATAAATAACTGGCTTGCTTTAGTGCCAGCTATCAAAGAGATAGTGATCCGATCTACATTTTCTTGCCAGATATCATCAGCTCGGTGCCACTTGCTGGCACAGAAATATATTATAGAACGGATAAAATGACAGTTGCCAGTCGGCAAATTATGCACTATACATATTTTTTCCGGAAGCCTCTGGCCAATGCCTTAGCTCCCTCAGAAAGGGAATACAAAGGGCGTGGGTAGGCAGCCATGAAAGTTTCTCGACACAGAGACGCAGCGGGGAGGCCAACACTAGCGCCAAATCGAACAAAAGGTCTGCAGCAACAAAAGCCAACAGGATGGAGGATGGAGCCAACAACCAGAAAAAAAGCAACG